CATATATTGCTTACAAGCAGACGCCGCTCAAATTTCAACCCCACCACGAACGTTGAACGGACTGTCATTCGGGTACTTTGAGAACGCCCTCTATCGAATTTCGTGAGAAAAATAGTAACTCGGAAATTAACTTGAGTTTGCGTAATTATCATGAAAGCAATACATTACGAAGTTGAAATATTCAGAGCTGGTACAATATTGTAAACAAATTTGCGTAATTAGAAAAGCAGTGCACTAAGTAAACGACGTTGATATATTCAAGCCAGTACAGAGTTGCATACAAGTTGCTTAATTACAGTACCTTCGGATATAATTAATAACAATTTTACTAGTTTGACGCGCGGGGCACGAAAGAAAAAGGTTGCTAAGGTAACGCGCCAGTTCAGTGCGTGACTTGGGGTCAAACTTCGGTCAACACACACTTGATGTCAGCATCGCCGCGCAACAAGTTTCGCTAAAGTACATGAAGTTCAATTGCGTCCCAAAATGATGTCGCTGATCACTCAGTTGTCGTAGCGTGTGTTGTGTCATGTCCATGATGCACCCCGTTTTGACTTTGGCCTGCTTTTCCTTCTTGTTCACGTAAAATGCGACCTCTCACCAATGTATTAAAACACTTTGAATTTATACTTTGCATGATTATATTTGGTCAACGCGAAACATTATTTTTTCTAAACATTTTCTGAGACCGATTTATTTTTGCAGACAAGATGGGCTTCGTAATATCTGCCATAACATCGCCCGGGCGATGCCTAGAAAAATAAAAAAAGGCAATGCAGCCAGACGGCTACTTTGTAGCCATGTGTTCATTGTTTGTTTGTGTACAGAGTGACCTTTGCCATTTTTCACTGTTTCATTTCAAGTGTAACATGGTGCGTGGTCCTTGACGCAGTGCGTGTTCTCTGTCCGACTATACGCCATGAATGTCGGTAGCCATGAGTCTCAGAGGCACTAAAAAAACGTCCCGTAATCGTGTTCATTGGAAAACAAAACAAATCACTAATAAATTTATGAAAACAGTTCCTTTTTGAATCGATCTAAAAGTACTCGTTTAATTCGCGCACCAAAAACCAATAATTTCCGTTTTGACGCTATTAATTCGTGCACTTGAATAAATAATTATTTTTACTACCGCGAATTAATCGAGTTTTTACGGTAAGCTGAAAAACAAATAGAATAGTGAAACCCCAAATTACTGTAGAATCTGTATTAGGAACCACAGCTTCAATAATAATGGTTGCACATCCATTTTTTCGCTGGTTTAACTAAAGGTGGATTATGTAACATCCTGCAGAATGAAAACAAGCAGCCTATCGGCTGAGATAGCTCCGCTGTTAGCAATGCACATTTCAATTAAAGAACTAAAGACATCATTAGAAAATGAACAATATGAATAGTATCAAAGCAATCGGACTTGCAGTTTTTAACAAGAAGTCGAAAATATCACTTTTTACCAAAAATTACAA